GGAGGCATTTCATTTGGTCACACATTTATTAGTAGCTGATTTCAAGTATGACAGTTCCTTCTACGTCCCATGTCAGATGCTTCATTCATTCCAAGGAATTATCTTTGAAACAATAGCCTGACAAATTAGATGTTAGAGCAACCTATCAAGAAACCTAATGCCATTAGAGGCAAATGCTGCTGATGTGATAATTTAAAGACCCCTGGCCTATGAATGTAACAGAATAATTTATGGTTAAACTCCACTGGATTCTCCAAATTAGATTCAATGTTATTTCAGCTGAGTCAGAACTTCAGAGCCTCAAGGCACTCAAAAAAGAAAATGGCCATAAACTAAGATTCAAGGTTACATGTTAGCTTTATTGGAAAGCATTTCCTGCTTTTAGGGCAAAGTTGTGCACAAGTCCTGGGAGTGACTTCATGTTAATTAATATCAATGCCAGTTGGTGAAGCTGCATAATCTTCTTCTTTATTTATAAAAATATCTTGCTGGAAAATTATACTTTGGATTTAAAAATCATACCAGACAGTGATCTAATACAAAATGGTCAGCCCTGGAAACATATATACAAGTAACATTTTATAAACTGTAACAAGTCACATTTCATATATGTATAGACATATATATGGTTATATATAAATATAATCATATATTTAGGAATACATATTTATATATACATATATACATCAGATAACAATGAATGAAAAAAGAGATTTGGAGGGAGGAAAGGAAAAAGAAATTTTATAATTGTATTATAACGTCAAAAATAAAAGAAGTAAAAAAAATTGAACCTAAAATGGCTATACCAATCTTGGTTGATGCCTCAGTTTTTCTTTTTTCAATGAACACATTTTAAATGAAACACAATCATTCCACTTAGCACCAGGTGACAGTTTCATCATTAGACTATCATGAAGTGAAAACCAAAATGGTGTATCATAATACACATTCAGGCGGCTACAACACACACAGACACAGAAAGACACACAGACACTGACACAGACAGACAGACGACAGACAGATAGACAGACAGACAGACAGACAGACAGACACACACACACACACACACACACACACACACACACACACACTGGCCCATTGTTACCATGAACAAAGTAACATGAGGTAGGATCAAACTCAAGAGAAAATGGTACTGTTGTTATAACCATAGACTCGAGTCCCCAAGGTACCTGTTGGGATTCCCAAGTTTTTGTGCCCTAGAACATAGAATTATCCCAAAGACACATGGGTAGCTATTGAAACAGAGACACTATATAAAGAAAGTTCTTCTGAGGGGTGAAAGTGGGCTAGAGAGCATAACTATAGGTCACAGCAGTTAAGATCCTTTATGTGCCATTTTCATAACTCTGTCCCACTTCCTTCTGCATTTGTAGATGAAGGGCTTTTTATGGGGCACACTCATTCTCTTCCAGGTAGCCCTGGGTGGTGGGAAGTGTCCAGTTCTTTTCCCCAATCACTGGTTTCTTTCATATATTTACCCTCCTCTCCCCTCCCCAGGGAAACAGAGTTTTTTTTTGTGTGTAGCCTTAGCTGTCCTGGAACTATCTCTGTAGATCAGGCTAGCCTTGAACTCACATAGATTTGCATGTCTCTGTTTCCTGAGTGCTGGGATTAAAGGCATGCCCATCTCATGTTAATCTTAATGTCCTTTGTCCCAACTCCACTGCTTTGCTACATAATCAAAAAAGCAGTATACACAATGAGTGTGAGGCATTGCTCATGTAGCAAAAAAGGCTATTATACAATAAGGTTCTTCTTATAAGTAGAGAACAATTATAAAATGAATAGTATGGGAAACTCATAAACCACAGTCATTTATCACCATTACCCAGCATTATGCAGTGTGCATAATTACATTGCTGTACTTCATAAGACTGTCAATGCGGTCCTGCCCCGACCCGCGGGACATTCAACGTGGGGACTGGTGGACACCTAGGAGAAAGATGGGAGATGGAACATTCAAGAAAGGACGACAAGACAGGATTCTGATCAAGTCGACCACTTTATTTCATCCCACAGGGATTTATAAATGGGAAGGGAGGAGGGGAAAGAATGGGGGTGTGCTGCAGCTGCAAAGGTCACTGGGATGGGTAAGTCATCCTGTGTCCTCTGGTAATCTAACTGCAGATTCTAACTTTATCTTTCACATTCTACCTTCTATCATACAGGCTTACACCCTACTGACTAGGCAGATAAGCCGCAAGTCTGTGTTCTCAGAACTTGTGTCCTATCTTAAGAGGTGGTATTTCAGCTATGTGACCTGGAGTCATGTCTTTCTCTATGAGGACATGATGGTGCTATGGCTGAATTATGGCAAAGGCCCCTGGCACAGTCCAGTTGTTTACACCAGCATCACCCCAAATACAAGAATAATGCGTCCTGCCATAATGTTTCAAGGCTACAGAGACATCGGCAATAGGAAGTTCTGGTTCCATTGTTGTCATATGAGACTACCATTGTGTACCTGGTCAATTGTTACCCAAAATGTCATTGTAAGACTGCACAAGAGAACCTTGAAAGGCATTTTCATACAATTTTTATACAAAGATCCATGAAATTAATGTGGTAGAGACAGCAGCCCATGATCCTGGAAGTGTCATATTCTCCATAGTAGAGAGACAGTGGCTCTTTCCCCAGGGCTGGTTTGCATAACATTACTTTGGTTGACCACCTCTTTTCCTTACCTTGAATGAATCAATATATTTTTAAAAAATCCATATCTCGCTAAGGTCAGTGGGACAGAAAGACAGACAAAGGGACAAGCTATTCAATGGTGGTATAGGCTTTATCCAAGAAGAGACCTGAAGAGGAGGCATCTCTAGTCCAAGATCCAAAAGCCTGTGGTCCTCTTGCAGGTGGGCATTCTTACTGAACAGGGAAGGGGGAAGGCTGATGGAAACTGACAAGCATCCTGTTTGGGAAGTAGTTTGCTGTTGCTAGTGTATTCTGGTGGGTGAAAGACCATTAGGTGGTGGGCAAACATCTCCTACCTTCCCTTGCTTGTGCTCTTAGGAATTAATAAGGTAGGGAGAGCAAGAGTCTAGACAAACAGGTTCCTTTAGATTAGAGAATAAAATAGTTTTAAAAGTTGTCATGTGAGCTTAACCAAAATGGTGAGCTTTACAAAGTAGCATGGCTGTGACTCACAGTCAAAACTGTCCAGGGCTACTGTGCCTTTCAGACAGGCTGCCCCTTTCCACTCTCTCTTGCTTCTGGCTGCCTAGGACTTGATCACATTGCTATGATGATTCTTTTACATTCACTCTCTCTCCTTGGCTGTGCTTCTCCTCTGGGACCTGACTCTCACACTCCTGTTAACTGCACTGAAGCCCAGGCAGGAGGTGATGCCTTCCACAGAGAGACACATGTGTCCTCTGTCATGAGACAAAATCTCTATATGGGAGGTAGGGGAGAGGCACCAACAGACTAAGGAAAAGCTCTGTCCAATTGCAGCCTGATGAATCAATGAGTTTAATAGGTTTACTTACAGGGTGTGGGTGGCTCTGGGGTGGCTGTACCACTGGGAAGTCCTGTTGCTACCTGGGTTATTAGCGTCTGAGATTCTTCTGACGGTCCTAGTAGGCACAGTTACCAACAAGCCAAGAAATGGATTAGCAGTGAAAAGTAGAAAAGGAGATTTATTTAATGGGGTTACATTGGTGAGAAGGATAGGAAGATCCAAGTCCAGCTTTGGGATCCTACACGAAGTTCAAGTGTAAGCAGAGTACCAGAGTTATGAGTAGCTAAACAGTCTTGGTAAAGGTGTGGTCCAGGCCATCACCAACCCACCATTTTCTGAGCTCCAGACTTTCCAACAAAGTGGCCTTTTTGGGAGACGTGTACTCCCTCTTCTGGATGCCCTCAGGCTTCAGGCTTTTTCCCAGAGAGATTTTAGAGAAATTCCAGTTTTAGGGGGTATAATGTCTCAGTAGTCCGATAGCCAAAAGGAGGGACACAAGTGTCTTTTTAAAGTCTTCATTCCTAATTGGTAGAAAGTTATACCATTCCTGACACGGTGGATTCAAGAGCAGATGCACCATGGGAAATTCCTAACCCCAGATTAACTCATACCCAGAAGGTCACATGGGGAGCATGTGACAGTGTGGTGGCATCCCACATACTTGTAAGAGAGAGTGGTTAACATCCATCCCCATCACTTTAACCCTAGCTACCAGATGATTGTTCATTTGAAGTTGAGCATACCTGCCACAGCCTTTCTGTAGGTCTCTGCAGCCTGGAGAAAAGAATTACACTTCAGGTGGTTAGTTTTCTATAAGTCATGAACATGCTATGCCAGAAACACAGACATTGTATCCCCACAAGGTAAGCAATTTACATTACATAATAATTAAACTTAAAGCTATGTTGGTTTCGTTGGTTGCAATTTGCCAAGTTTCCCAACTGCCCTTGACAGGTGGCCATTGCTCAACACAAGTTCTTTTATTCTGATATTTTAATTACTTTACTCTCAAATCACACATGGCACATTGCACAGTAATTATGTATGTGCGTTTGTGTATATGTGGGTTACAGAATGGCTATAGAAGGGTAAAAGAGGCTGCAGCAGAGTCTGAGGAGTTCAAATATGCAGAGCTTCAGAGCTGACAAAGAGGCAGAGCATCAATTAGCAGCTGAGACAGGATGACTCAGCTGGGCTTAGGGGTGGCTAGACAAGTGGGAGGATGATGACCTGAGCTCCATGCAGAACCAATGTGAAGGCAGAGAGAAAGAGAGAGACAGAGAGACAGAGAGAGAGAGAGAGAGAGAGAGAGAGAGGAGAAGGAAGAAGAGGAGGAGGAGAGGGAGAGAGGAGAGAGAAAGAGAGAGACAGAGACAGACAGACAGACAGAGAGAGAGAGAGACAGAGACAGAGACAGACAGAGAGAGAGACAGAGACAGAGAGAGAGAACTGACTCCACAAAAGTTGCTCTCTGGCCCGCAATTTGTGCTTTCTCTTCCTGATGCCAAGTGTGTTGGCCATGCCTTCCCTGCTCTCAACCCCCAAGCTGGTTCCCGTTATAGCAAGACTCCGCTGCCTCTCAGGATGCATGCCATGTTTACATCGAAGGTACTCCCTCCAGTCTGTGCCGAAGAAAAAGATTCCAAATCGGTACTTAGGCCAGCCCAGCCCAGTTACACATCCACACCTCCTCAGACCAGGGGAGGTGACACCAGGACTATCTCAAGTGGAATATGCACTTCGAAGACACAAATTGATGGATCTGATCCACAAGGAAGCACAGGGGCACAGTGGAGCAGACCACACAGTGGTGGTACTCTCTAACCCTACATACTACATGAGCAATGACATCCCCTACACGTTCCACCAAGGCAACAATTTCCTGTATCTCTGTGGATTCCAAGAGCCTGATAGCATTCTGGTCCTTCAGAGCTGCTCTGGGAAGCAGTTACCATCCCATAAGGCCATGCTTTTTGTGCCTCGAAGAGACCCTGGCCGAGAACTGTGGGATGGTCCTCGGTCTGGCACGGATGGAGCAATAGCCCTAACTGGGGTGGATGAAGCCTACACTCTGGAAGAATTTCAGCACCTACTACCTAAACTGAAAGCTGAGACGAGCATGGTTTGGTATGACTGGATGAAGCCTTCTCATGCACAGCTTCACTCTGACTACAGGCACCATCTGACTGAAGCCAAAGCCAGGAGCAAGAACAAGGTTCGGAGTGTCCAGCAGCTGATACAGCGCCTCCGGCTAGTTAAATCTCCTGCAGAGATTAAGAGAATGCAGATTGCTGGGAAACTGACGTCAGAGGCTTTTGTAGAGACCATGTTTGCCAGTAAAGCGCCAATAGATGAAGCCTTTCTTTATGCAAAGTTTGAATTTGAATGCCGGGCCCGAGGTGCAAACATCTTAGCCTACCCGCCTGTGGTTGTAGGCAGTAACCGCTCCAACACTTTGCACTATGTGAAGAATAATCAGCTCATCAAGGATGGTGAAATGGTGCTTCTTGATGGAGGTTGTGAATCTTCCTGCTATGTGAGTGACATCACCCGGACATGGCCTGTCAATGGCAGATTCACCGCACCTCAAGCAGAGCTCTATGAAGCTGTTCTAGAGATCCAGAGAGCATGTTTGACACTGTGCTCCCCTGGGACAAGTTTGGAGAACATCTACAGCATGACGATGACCCTGATGGGACAGAAGCTTAAAGATCTGGGGTTCATGAAGAGCAGCAAAGAAAATGCCTTCAAGGTAGCTCCTTCCTCCTCACCCAGCATGCTGCTCCATTTTAATAAAGCTAAATAGTCTTAGAAAACAAAAAAAGTTGCTCTCTGGCCTTCACACAAACATGGTGGCATACATGCAAGCCCCTCCCCTACACACACACACACACACACACACACACACACACACACACACACAAATAGTAAAGTATTTTTTAAAAGAGTGTTCTGGGTCAACTAAGTCTAGAAGGTAAGACTATGTCTCAAAAATCAAAAACAAAGATAAAAAAACAAACAAAAAGCCATGGGACAAAAATGTTACATCTGAGTGTGTAACATTTACTAGTTAGTATTAGCAGAGAGGAAGGGAATTCTGGGTACAAATTCATTCATACATCCTCTCGCTTATTTACTAAAATCACTTCTCTAGTGCCCAATGTAATGCTAAGCACAGAATGCATTCAAAGAATACATGTTGGCTTGAATTATTCATGTGTTCATTCTTTCATTGATTCATCAATATTTATGGGGCAACCTGTTCAGGCCAGACCCTGTATTTAGTCCTCCTGGCAATGGTGATCAATGCGAATCCAGCCTATGCTGCCTGGTCCTTAAAATAGCTGATACATTTTAAGAGTTTTGCCTCTGAATGGTAGAGGCCCATTGTTAAACTTTCTAGGGAATGGACTGTTTAATGAGTCTCATTCCTGGCTTGACTTTAGAATTACCTCAGCTACTACTTACAAACACCCACTCTGGGCCCAAATTCCAGGCCAATTAAATTAAAACCTGCAGAGGCGAAACACAGGTTAAGATACCTTTAAAGTCCCTTCACGATATGTGATACAAAGCCCTAGACTGAGAGTTGACTTAAGAACTCCCCACACTCCAAGTAGGCCACTGTCTGGGTTGAACTGTTTTCCACGTACACTCATACCTTGAAGTCTTATTCCACAGTGTCTCAGAATGTTAATTGGGTCAGAATGGAGCCCTTGCTGACACAATTAAGAATTAGGTCATTCTAGGCCTGAGGTAATAGTTCCGTTACTCAAATGCCTGCCTTGTTATTCTTCAAGAGTCCATGTTTAAGTAAACAAACAAACAAACAAAAACAAACAAACAAACAAACAACAGCAACAACAAAACAGGTGTGGTGACCTGTGCTTGTAATCTCAGTTTTGGGGCAGCAGAGACAGAGAGACTTTTGGGGCTCACTAACCAGCCAATCTAGCTTAGTTGGTAAGTTCCAGGCCAATGAGCAACTTCTTAAAAAAACAAAACCAAAAAAGAGGCTGACACTTGAGGAATGACAGGTGAAGCTGTTCTTTTGCCTCTCCGTTTCCCTCTCCACACAAATTAGAACATTACAATGCACCCCACCAGGTTCTCTGGGGTTCTTCCTATGTAGAGCAGGTATCAATAAAGTACTATGAAAAAAATCTCCTATCTAGAGACAAGACTCTGCCCTGGCTGGAGACCTAACATTCCATTCTGGCAGAGTCAATAACCTGGCCCAGAGGCCACCTCTAGGAGGCAGACTGACCTTAAGCCACCACGCTAAGGAGAGGCAGATGGCCTTCCCTTAGTGAGGTACCGTGCTTCTCTGAATTCCCATGCCAGAACAGTAGCTCACGGACATGCAGCTTTGTGAGTCTAAATGGTTCAGAAAGCACACCTTCCCCTTTCCTTCTTTCTGCTTCTGCTCTATGCATGTTTTCCCTAACACTTGGGGCGTTCCCACCACTTTGGGTTTCCTTTTCCCTAAAGTTCTCCTCCCTGTCATGTGGCGGCTTGACTGCCATGCGTCTGACCTCCGTGCCAGCTAAAGTGGATGGCTTTCCCCTCCCTTCTCTTCTGCCCTCCTCCGGGCAGCTCTCAGTAATGCAGATGGCCTGTTCTGGGGTTTTCTCTTTAAACATTATTAAAATTGCCCTTGAGATTTCATTTTGAGTCCATTTAAATGTTTTTCTATTGTTGGTACTGAGAACCTCAGGAGAGGACCCTGATTTTCCTAGTATCGTCAGCTGGCCTTCAACTTACGTCAATCATCCTGCCTGAGAGCTGTGCAATCTTACATGATTTATCAAAAGGAAACCTACACATAGGAAGACATAAATGTGGATATGATGGAAGACACCAGGGTGATGTTTCCCTAGGCCAGGGGCAGCAAAGAAGTAAATGAACCACTGGGGTGTGTGTGTGTGTGTGTGTGTGTGTCAGGTAGGGTGGAATTCTTCCTTGGGTACCTCAGTGGATATCCACTCTGTCTGTACTTTCTCCTTGGGATTGCAGTCTCCGGAACAGAAACACAAATCACTTACTATGCCCGGTAGGCAGCACGCCTTTGTAGTCATTGCGCTAGTACGCAAATGCCATCAGCATCTTTGAGAGCTCATTCATTATTATTAGTAGTATTGTTATTATTATTATTACTATTTGATTGCTTCCTTTCCCTTTCCCTCCCGAAGATGGACCAGCCCCAGCTGGGAACCCGGGTGGACGGATTCTTTCGGCCCCTCCCACAGGGTCACTTATCTTTAGTAAGAGTCCAAGCATTGACTTAGGAATGACCAACCCACCTGAAGTCAGGCCTTACAGTCTGGCTCCCTGAGAATGATCAATGAGCTGTAAGCCTGTAATTCCCCTCACCCGGCCAAGGGGGGGCCACAGTAGCTGCTTCCAGCCAATCGATACAAGTGCTGGAAGACACTTGTCCCTGTGGCTCTGAGGATGCTGCTTCATCATTTGATTAGTGCCAACAACACTCAAGCCGCGTCTCTTTAAGGCACTGTTTTAGTAAATTCAATTTACAATTACTTTCAATGTGAGAAGTTTGAGGGTTTAGTTTTAACGCCCCAGGAGCTGTAAAATCAACCAGGGTTCAGCTGGGCAGCCTGAGGAAACCATTATGCAAAGGCTTCTATGAGTCTAAGCTTTGTTTCTTCTGATCAGGGACAACTTCTTCAATGGACCAGCTGTCCTACAGTCTCTGCTTTATAATTTCTCAAACTGAGAACCCAAGTTCAAGTTCAAGTCCTGTATTATCGGGGATTCCCGAGGCAAATATGAGCAGCTTTGAAGGCAGTTAACTCTCAGTAGTGAACCTACTCATCACATGTGGACCCAGGTTGCCGATTCCTTCCACAGCTCGCTCTGATCCAGGCTTCACTTTTACTTATTTTTATATTTAAAGTTTGACTTCCTTGTTGTTTATTGGTGGAACGAGGCATGTGCAACACCGCGGTGGAATGAGGAATTTCTCTGTTACAATCAGGCATGTGCATCATTGCTTGGTTCCTGTTTCCTGTTTCCCTCCTTCCTCATCAGCATTGCTCATCCCCACTCTTGATGGTCCCTTTCTTTCCAAACGGTTTCCTCTCTGACTCTGATTTCTTTTCCCTTTTTTGAGATGAGGTCTCACTTAGCCCAGGCTGGCCCTGGATTTGAGAATCTCCTGCCATCACAACTCAGGTGATGGATGATAAGAGGGCACTATCACACCTGGTTAATCGAGTACTGGGGAGCAAACATAGGTCTTCATGCATGTTAGACAACCACTGAGCTCTGGCTTAGATACCCCTGATTTTAAAGCTTTTTCTAAATTCCCTTTTAAACTGGATAGCTCCTGGGAACTAGGAGTTGCCGAGTTCCAGGACAGGAAGAGACTGGTTCTCAAAAGAGCAAGCTGACAGACACTGAAGGAATGACACCTGACGCTGTGTACCATTATTACACTGATCTGCTCCAGGACCCCAGATGACAGTTTTATTTTTCTCTTCCAACAACCCAACAGACCTCTAGGTGTGTCAGATTTTAGGGATACAGATGTCATATCTTACACAGTCACATTAGTTATTTGCATTTCTGCTGCCTCTTAACATGCTCTGCATATTGCAGACACTCAGTAAACACTGCATGGTTTATGCCCCTTCCCCGCCTAGGTACTTTCTGTGCTGCATTTAGGGGAAACTGTTTTCAGACACATCACTGGGCATGCAGGGATTCTCTAAGGACGTTAGGCACACCATTTCAAGGAAATGGAAGAAGATTCCGGAATAAATTATATTGATTTTAATTCAGACATTTAAATCTGCTTTGTTTATTGCCTTTGCAATTGAAGAATTGATCTGAACAAGGCAGACATAGCAAGAATAGATTGCTTTTATCGAATTCACAGTGACCTGATTAAAAAACATAGTTGTTATGAGAAAAATAATCTTACTTCCTATTTTATTACAGATTTCTCCCCATGTGAATTTATTGTTTTAATATAGTAAATAAAGAATACAATGAATTTTCTTTATTGCTGCGTGAGATAGTTTGAGGGCAGTTAGAAAACACTTTGTTAGAATACTTCCTTTTTATTCAAATGATTGTAAAGCCTGTGCGTGTGTGTATGTGTGTGTGTGTGTAGGACATAGTCCATGTTCTGGTATCTTCCTTAGTCACTTTCCCCCTTAGTTTTTGAGACAGGTTCTTTCTCTGAGTGTGGAACTCACTAGATTTTGGTCAGACTTGGTGGAAGTGAGTTCTCAGGATTCTATTAGCTCCATCTTCTCAGAGTACTAGGCTTACAGACATGCACTGCTCTGCCTGGTTTTTACATGGATGCTGGGGATTTGAATTCAGGTCCCCCTGGTTGGGTGGCGATCACTTTGCTGGCTAAGTCATCGCCCCCGTTCCTGCAAAGCTTATTCTGGGCAAGAGGGTGCCTCTCTTCCTCTGACATTTTTCTGTTGAATTAGCAAGGATCTAAGGATGGCCAGATTATTCATGCCGATCTTGATTTAGATTTTTATTTTCTGAAAAAATGTCAAAGTGAGAGCCACAACTCAAATCAGTTCTTTTGTTAAAGTGAAACAAAACACAAAAATTTGATTTAGAAAATTTTCTGCAACACAGAGGGAATAAAGAAGAAAAATTACTTAATCTTCTAAACTTGCATCTGAAATGTTAAGATGTAACATCCACTGTTTAATTAGATTTTGAATTTTTCTGTTTGAAGTCAGGAGATGAATGGAGTTGTATCTATTTTCTGGCAATCCCTTTCACTCTCCAAACGTCTACTATTTGATCTGAAAT